AAGGTGCGTTTCTATCAGTCTTCCTACCATTATGACCAAGTTGCGAAAACAAGGTCAAGCAACTTCTATAATGCATGATAGTTAATCTAACCTTGACAATGTGAGTTGAGGTTCCCCATAGTTCAATGCCATTAGTACTTTCTGATCCTGATCGGACTGCGCCTTACAAACTTCAAATCTTTCTTGTTGTATGCTTTAGATTTATGGCTAAACAAGCAACTATGATCATACCTTCGGTTCACTCTAGATAATAATGTTTCTTTTAGACACAATGTATACCGAAATTCACTAGAAAAAGCTAGATTCTTTGCTTCCTCATGACTAGTTCACCTTTTAAAGGGATTCCTTTGTTCCATTCACTTGCTATTTTGTTTGTCTTATTCGACGCATTAAATTTCTTTAACTCACTGATGATACTGATTTCATGCCCTGGTGTCTCTTTTAGATCCCTTGAGAGAAAACCCATTTTGGTGACTCCTTATTTGATTCTTTCTGTAAATCACTTATTTTTCTTTATTTTCCGTCCTACTGAAGCCTCTCCATAAGGTATTCTTTTATCAGCCCTGTGGGGAAAAAGGTATGTTTCAAAGTTTCCCAAAATAGCATTTATACTGTTACCATTACTACTTCATTCATCCCTCGTGTGCTTTAGATTAACTACGGGAATATAGCTAGACTCAGGCCTCATGATTCAGTTTCTGATAATTTTATCAGTTTTCACGCTCTAACTGACTTGCGTTAATATAGTATGTGCTATCTTTGCAGACCGTGAGCAGCAATCGACTCCAGAGGAGACAGACACGTCAGAAATGGGCGATCATAGCCAGACTCCTACACTCTCAGTCTATTCACCCTCGCCTTCACTGATTCTACGCCTTGGCGACGAAATGACCAGTTCTTTCTCTGCCTCTGGTTCTGATCTGATCGCCAGTCTTTCTTCCACACTCTCCACAGATGATCTGACTGAGGCAGAGGGCACAACCGTCAGTCCCCAGCTGTCTGCGGTCACGCTTGCTGGTCATGGCCAACCGATTGTGGTGTCCACCAGCCCGGATATGAAGCCCAGCGCCAACAGTGGAACGCATCGACGATATCACAATAGCAGTGAAGCTGTGGAGACTAAGCCAAGAGCAAAACAAGGAGGAGGAGGAGATGATAGCGGAGAGAGATCGGGATGCATGGTCGCAAAGGATGAAAAGGTCTTACTTTCCGTTCCTGATAACCCTGACCCTGTTCCAAGTAATTCTCTACTTGAGCCAAGTTTTGATAACTTACCGAAAAAGAGCTTGGCTTCCCAGAGAATTAAAGATGTGGCAAGTTTTTCTGACAAATCTGTTAAAAATCCCTTGGTGCTGGAGCAGGGTAGTTATTTGGCTACTTCTGATCTGTTACAACCCGATCAAATTGGAATACATAATCCCGAAGAGTCGCTGGCCTTGTCAACAGGATACAGTGACGATGAATTTGTGCCCTCTGAAGAGGAAGGGGGGGAGGAGGGGGAAAAATATAAGGGGAATAAAACAGAGGAGCAGGAGGAAGAGGAGGAGGATGAAGAGGAAGAGGAGGAGGAAGAGGATGAAGAAGAGGGTGATGAGAAGGATGGCAATGGCGTGAAACAGAGTAGGGCCAAATGACCATTTCAACGACTTTGTGTTACACATTTGGAATAGGAAAGCAAGAAAAAAGGGAATATGCCTTATTGCGCCTTGCCCCCTTTTGTACCTTTTCCTCCTTGACATAAATTGCTCTCCTATTTTTCAAGATCGATTGTTTGCTGTCGATATCCTGCCCAATCTGTTCATCACTTCCTGTCATTATTTTTCGTTCATTATTTTCATATGCACGTTTCGCTGGCGATCGACGTTTGCTGACATCCATCTGAGCTACGCCACTCCTGTGGCTCCATCTGTGATAAGGTTCGGTTTACAACTGTGTTTGGAGCATTTCTATATATTTGTTTGTCGAGCAAGGTGTTTATACAAAGTGAATCAGTGATTATATATGCCTGCCTGCCTATCCGTCTAACTTTCATTCTTTAAATCCATATATCTGCTGTATTTTTCTGTCTAGCTGCCTCTTTACCAACGACTTCTGTCAGACACTAGCCTTGTCTACTCTAGCATTTCTGTTCCTCCATATTCTGTGCTAGAAGTCTCTTCGTCCGTCCCAGCGTCATTTGCTTGTTCATCTGCCTTTCTTTTTATCAATTAGCCAACCTGTCAATTTATTTTTTTTTCTTTCTATTTTTCTGTCTACCTTTTGGTTGGTTGACTAGTAATCCGTCTGTAGGAAGCCTTTTTGTTTTTCTTGTTTCTCTGGAT